GCAGGTATTCCTATAGGTATTCCCCGCTTCCCTTCTTGGTCACCTCTCACCATACTTAGGACTTTCGGTCGAAAAATGGCGTTTTTTCCCTCGGTTATCGTCGTCTTTTCCGAAAGGGGGCCTCTCTTAAGCGCGCCAGTCCAACAAGAACACATCGCCTCATCCTTAGTTTACGTGATGCTGGAAAGCTGGTTCGGGACTATACCCAGAACATCGACTGCCTTGAAGAGAAGGTTGGCCTCTCTACCGATTTGCGGAAGGGTCCTGGAAGTCGATCTCGTTTCTGCAGGAAGTACCGGCCAAGATATGTCCGAGGCCACCACCGAGTCAACTACGAGCCGTATCTCCAAGATAGAGGCGTCGAATGTGTTCTCCTCCATGGATCTCTCCGCCGTCTGCGATGCTTCAACTGTTTTAGCACATGTTGCTGGGACGAAGATGGCCGAGAAGCGAAGACTCTGGCAGGACAGGAACCTCCGTGCCCCGGCTATGCCGAGATATCCGAAGCCAGAACATCAGCAGGGAAATGCAACGCACGGGGTCAAGCACCTGGTGAAGGACTTTGCGAAGATTATTCACAAACGGGCTGGAAAAGTGGTGTTTGTAAACCTCACAGAACCGGCTAGGGACTGGGACGGTGTGATCGATTACTGGGTCGAGTGGGATTGTGACGCCTGGGTACAAGATCTAACGAACCGTCAGCCGGCACTCTGCTCTGGCTCGATTTCAAGGGTTCTGATAGACTTAACTGGAGACGGTGAGCACGTGAGAGCGATGGCTTCTCGTGGGTATGATGGGGGGCAAGGGAGCAGTCGGGACAATCCCATCGACCTTACGCTTAGCTAGATGACGTAAAATCCATAGATTTCTCTAACAAGGTGTTTGTTGGGCAAGTTCTAAAAAACTCAGCTCACACGATCTTCAGTAAAGGGAAGGGTGATAGGAGCGAGGAGAAGCAGTGCGATGAGGAGACAAACAAGGATCAGGAATGCGGTCAGGAAGGACACGACGATGAGGTTCGATGAGGAGAGGAATAGCGACGAGGAGTCAGATGGGGAGCAGAGCAACATTGATGAGGACTGCGATGTGCAGCAGAAGCACGAGGATATGGCGTGACGAGAAGGAAAGGAACGAGATGAGGTCTAGATAAACAATGTCGGTGAGTCTGCCGCCATTTTTAGCGGGTTCTGCCGCTGGTTTGGACGTCGCATTAGCTAGGAGGCTGACGCCAAGCGCCCCGCTGCGCCCCGGAACACGGTTGTCATGACGCACTTCCAGGTACCTTGTACCTGGACCCCACCACCATGAGCCATAATCGCGGCCTCTGATTTTGCTTCCGGGTTCCCGGATCCAGGGCAACAGTCGAAAATGGCCCCCGTCTCAGCCTTTAAGTGGCCGCGCTCGCGCGCCGATGGCTATACGAAGTGCTTGCTCCGCATAGTCTCAGAGCTCTCTCTGAAGCGATCCTGGTATTGCTGGAGTCATCTACCTCCCGCCGGCCCAGAACCAGCAACAGTTATTCCATCTCACTTTCGCCTTCGGGTTATCGTGACATCGGCCGTATTTTTCAAGGTTACCAAAAAAATATGACGCGCCGCCGCGTCCGGCAGGACGACTTGTATGAGTACTCTGACAGTTCGAATTGGTCGGACGGCGAATCTTCGTCAAACGATGACGAAGTGTTCGACCTCGAGGCTGATGATAATGGGTATGAGACCAGTCTATCGGACATTGATGACTTCGACCCAAACGATATCGACGTAGAAGATGCCGCAAAGCTCTTTAAGGGAAACCTATACCCTCCAGAATACTATGTCAGAGGTATACACGAGTTTAAGGAGTCGGCGTTCGACGGTCAAGACTATAGTGCGGGGAGTACCGTACTCCTTGATGGAATAGAGGATCTCTGGAATCAGTACGTTAAGCGACCTATACTGCTACCACTTCAGATTATGCTAATAAGCTGCAGGTATTGCGCATTCATCAAGCACGACCCTCAGAGGGCCTTTGAGTCTATCACTCTCGCGTTCCTTAACTCCTTCTTCGACTGGCTACTGAGCCAGAAAACTGGTAAGGATGGGAGGAAGAAGAGGGGAACGACCAAAAGCAGCTCTCTCGGGACGTACTGGAAGGTATATCGGCTCGTCTACGAGAGGGCCACAGGGGAGAAGATTGATGCAAAATTGAACCGGAAAATGCACAGGGTAGGCCGCCGCCCTAGTTTTTACAGGTTGTGGCGTTGCTAATATCTATAGGTGTTTAAACTTCTTGCCAAAAAGCACCGCCTGAGCGACCAGAAACGCGAGAATAGGTGCATGACAATTGATAACCTCAAGGAGCAGGTCGATACGACGCTACGTACCACAAAGAAGTCGTTTGGCTTAGGAGAGCTCCGAATCCTTTGTATCTTGTTCCTCCTCTTACTTGCCCCAACCGGTGCTCGCCCCACCTCGGTCCTTCTCCTCCGCTTCGGAGATATCCGCGTAGTATTAGCCCGAGATCCTGACGGCGGTCCACACAAGATCCTGATCAAGTTTACCCTGGAGTTTACGAAGACGTATCTTGGCAGCAAAGATGCGAAAACTGTGACGATCCCCGAAGTCCTATTCGACCCATCCCTGACTCT